TCACCCCTAAGCCACCCATGCTCTTAGGCTTGCAAATATTATCCCATGCAACCAGATGAGATCTCCTTTGACCATTTTTATCACCCCAAATAAAGGCACGCTGCAACTTCTCTATTTCATCACAAATGGCTACAGGAAGCAGACTGTGTTGCATTTGAAATATAGGAGTTGCTGAAATAACGGAGTTGGAAAGTGTAATTCGACCGGCAAAAGATAAGACCTGGTTACTCCAACCAGATAACTTGTGCCTAATTCTTGCAACAACATCAGCATAATGGTCTTTGGTTACTCGACCATGTTTCATCATGGACCCAAGATATCTCCCTATATTGTGAGTTTGCTTGAAGCCACACACATTTGTGATATCATCTGCAATGTGAGCATCTGTATTTTTCGAGAAAAAAATACTAGATTTCGGAATACTAACCTTTAGGCCAGACATTGAACTAAAAGTCTCCAAGCAATCCACTATAACTTTGATTTGATCTAGAGAAGCTTCTGCAAACAACATCAAATCATCAGCAAACATCAGATGGGCTATCTTAGGACCTTTTGATCCCACGGAGATTGGCTTCCATCTCTTATTGTCAACCGCATCTTGAATGAGATGAGACAATTTTTCCATGGCTAGAACAAAAATGTAGGGAGATAAAGGATCACCCTGACGAACTCCTCTTGAAGGAAGGAAGTCACCTGCAATGGCTCCATTCCAAAGCACTGAGACCTTATCAGAGTTGATACAATTCATGATAATATTTGTGAACCAGTGTGGGATTTGAATTTCATCCAAAATTTTACGAACAAACTCCCAATTTAACATATCATAAGCCTTTTCCAAGTCGATTTTAATTGCCATGAAACACTTTCTTCCTCTCATTCTACGCATTGAATGGATCAGCTCTTGGGTGATGATGATGTTGTCCTGGATATGTCGTTTAGGAACAAAACTAGCTTGGAAGGGAGACACCATCTCTTCCATTAGGGGCTTCATTCTGTTAACCAGAATTTTACTGAGGATTTTATAAATGACATTGCACAAAGAGATTGGTCTGAGCTGCTTAGCACTTTCAGGTCTCTTTACTTTTGGAATGAGGACCAGAAGAGTCGAGTTCACAAGGTGAATCAGATTGGGATTCTGAAACATCATGTTAACATCCTTAATAACATTAGTCTTAATAAGACTCCAATTCTTATGAAAAAAGGCAGCTGGAAAACCATCTTCCCCTGGAGCTTTTGACCCATTGATACTAAAAACAGCTTTTGAAATTTCGTCATCCGAAAGATTACGAGTCAAATTAGATAGCAGATCATCGTGCAGAAGGGGCCAAGTAGTCTTTGATTTCACCCAATCACGATTAAGGACTTCCTCACTAAACAAGTTGCTATAGAAATCTGTTACCAATTGATGAAGTTGTCTAGCTTCCTTCACCCAAATCCCATCAGAATTTTTTAACTCAAGAATCCTATTCGAACTTCTTCGAGTAGCTGTTTTAATGTGATAGAATTTGGTGTTTCTATCCCCATCATTTATCCATTTCACCCTGGCTTTTTGAAACCATAAGATCTCTTCTTGTATGAGAACCGCATCAAGGTCCTTCCTAACCTCCTTTTCTCTAGATTGGAGAGATAAGTTGGTATGATAATCAACATGATTCTGAATTTCTGCAATACTATGCAATAGGTTAGTCTTCCTATTGAAAATGTTGCCAAAGACTATCTTGTTCCATCTTTTTAAATTTGGAGTCAGATCATGCAGATTCGTTCTAGTGTCTTTCACAACATTCCAGCTCCTAGCCAGAAACTGAGTAAAGTTATAATGCTCCATCCAAGCAATCTCAAAGCGAAAGGGACGATTTTTCCAACCTGTGTCCAAGTTAGACAAGTAGACCAAAATGGGACTATGATCAGAATAAATCCGTGGAAGTACCTTAACGCCAGCATCAGTAAAGGTAGTCTTCCAACTTGCATTAGCACAGGCTCGGTCCAGCCTCTTAAAAACACGATCAAGATGAAGAAACTTCGGACCCTTCCATGTAAACCAAGGACCTGATCCTCCAAGATCCAGCAGCTTGCAATTATGAAGAACATTTGCAAAATTGGAACATCTGTTTAAGTTAACTCTACAGCCACCTTTCTTCTCATCCCGATTTGCTATTTCATTAAAATCCCCAGCCACCAACCACGGCCCATTACAATGGAGACTAATGTTTAGCAGATCATCCCATAGCTCCTTTCTATTTTCTTCCCTAGGACTCGCATAAACTGCCGTGCAAGAAAAGGAAGGAACATGAAAATTCTGAACTTTAAAATGAACAAACTGTTTTGTGTGATTAATAATTTCAACGAGACCAGTCTCATCATTCCAGAGGATCCAAATACCCCCTGAGTAACCTTCTGCCTCTTGAACAAAAGCATGCTTAAACCCAGATTTTCGGATAATGTCAGAAGCTTTTTGACCACTACACCGAGGTTCTAGAATCACTACAATACTAGGCTTATATTTCCTAGTAAACAGAAAAAGCGAATTTTGAAACTGGGGTTTCACTGCTCCCCTACAGTTCCAGAAGAATAAGTTCATTAAAAACTATGTTGAACGCAAGACTCCAAGGTTCTTGCATCCTTCATTCTTGAAATATCTTCCTGGTGAACTCTGTCCACCTCCATGCACGTAGAGATGGTTGAGGTTTCAGGATTTTGGATGTCGCTGCTGTTGTCAACTGATATATCAGGACCAGTTTTATGAAATGTGTCATATAACTGCTCTTGATTCTGGTTCAAAGTGCTATCTGCTTTCATCCCATTTTCCTGATCATGTTGATTTGCTTGCATAGGACTAACCGCCATGGGAGTAGCAATTGATGGAGATGGTGGAATGGGAGTATGATCTTCACGATTTTCACTCTGGACTGGACACCTCTTACCCGTGCTTGAAGAATGAGCCGCATGCATAGTAGGAACCGTTGATTTAGTCCTAGGGGTATCTTTGGACTTTTTGGATTTAGTCCATATTTTCTGAGGAATTTCAAACTGAGGGGCCCCCATATGAGGAGTAACAGAATTAATTATTTGATTATGATCCTCCTCATTAATAGGTCCAGCTGTTAAGATTGCAAACCGTGATTGCGTAATTTCCTCCTTATCACCATGATTATCTCCATGATTATCGCTGGTCATAACTCCCTTATTACCATGATTACCGCTGGTCATAACTCCCTTATTACCATGATTACCATGATTATCGCTGGTCATAACTCTCTTATCACCATGATTATCTCCATGATTATCGCTGGTCATAACTCCCTTATCATTATTCCTTTGTAACTTTTTTGAACCAGCGCCTGGCTGGACTGCACCGGCCGTCTGAGGAGGTTGCCGGCTCCTGCGTTGACGATTAACAACCATCCAAGGTCCCAATCCTTTACTTCGATGGAATTCTGAGTTGCCAGGTTCCTCTTGATGAATTTGATCGTCATTATGAATATCGGATGAACTGCGTTGCTTTGGAGCAGCTGAACAATTCTCGGTGCTATGTCCATATTTCCCACAACCAAAACAAATGAGCCCTAATCCTTCATACTCAATTTGTTTGGTAAATCCTTCCAGCACATAATCACCCTTTAATGGCTGAGATAGGTCCAGTTCCACACATATTCTTGCAAACCGTCCTCTTACATGAGCATTTGTATTGCTGTCTACCTTGATCATCTTGCCTAACCAGTTTCCAATCCTTCTAAAAAAAGCTTCATCATAGAATTCAATGGGAATATCCGGTAGACGAATCCAAGCAGCAATCTTAGCAATTCCAGCACTATTAGGTCTGAAAGTTGGTTCCCACTTCCTCAACGATAAATAATGACCCAAAACAATCCATGGACCACCGTTCAACGCAAAATTGAGATCATCCTTCTCACTAAACTGGACTACGAAAAAGTCATTACCAATATCAGTGACATTGATTTTGCCTTTTCTAGCCCATAAGACATTTATTTTTTTCTTCATAAACTCCACCCCAATTTTCTTCCCAAGGAGTTTAACAATCAGAGCTTTCTCCCAAGGTTTCCTCATTCTCTTCCTTGCTCTTTTGGTGCAACTAAAATAAGTACGCCCATCATCTTCCTCCCACATCTTAATTCCTCCATGGTTGACATCCTCTTCCTCAGCAGGTTCCTCCCCATCTAAGTCTTCCTCGGCAGACGCCTCTCCTTCCCATTCATCATCTTCTCCATTATGACGCATCAGAATTTCCCTCCAGGTTGAACGTTGGCCATTCTCATCTTCCATCCAACCTTCATGTCTAGGTATCATAGATACATCATTTGAAAACTGATCTCCCTCACCTTTATTCCTCTTATTACTTCTTTGAAGAATGTCAAGTTCTTCACTTGATTTGCCAGGATTCTTCCCATGATCACCTTTCTCTCTCTCACTCATCGCTCAAGAAGATGTAGTTTTTTCATATGAATAATATTGCCTTTGCATATTTTTACTTGTCAATGAGAGATAAAATTATCTTTTACAACATGAAAACCACTAATATCAAATATATAACACATGTATAAGAAAACAAACTAATAACACTTAAATTATTTAAAGACAAAAATAAGTTAATAATATTCACTTTGCATGTATTCTGGATTCCTCGTTATTTAATAACAATATTACACAAATACTCATTTTTTTTAGCATATAAAAAATATATTATGTGTTTGTTTGTTTCTCAGTGAGTGCACATCTTATTTGTGTTACATTGCCCTCTGCCCCCGTTATCATGTCCCTTCTTCTGCCAAAGGAACCTCAGTGAGCATTAGACTGATCTGAAATATTCACATAAGCCTTGGAATCAGTTACATTATCCATGTCGATATTTGAATTCAGTTGCCTCCCTCACTGAATTATGAGAGAAAATACCTTGTTAACATTTGGGAGTACCCAAGATCTTATAAACTCCACATTAGTTGCACATACAACCAATGTAGAACTATATATCTCAACAGAAAACGTATCACATGATCTCGATCTTTGTATGTTCGCGTCTTGTGTGAAAGCACCACAAGCACAGAACATTGCACATTTTGGAGATTGGCAGAGGTTTCAAGTTATCCTTTTCCTCACAAAATATCATTAGCTGAGTAAAATACTCAAAATCATATAATCCTAGAACACAACAACAGAACGTGCTAGTGAAGAAGAACAATGTTTAATAACCTCAATCTCGGATGAAAAAGGGTGACAAACACATTGAAATAGCTATTCTATAGCCATCCATTCTCCTAAAAAAAACATATTTTTTTGTGGTAGAAAGGCTAGAGCAGAACCTAATTGGAGAGACCCTTTCTAAGTGTATTTATTTTACATCCCTAACTTTAATCCACTTCCATAATATATTAGGGCAAATCCATCTCAAGTCAAAATCTAACCCGGGATAATATATGTTAAACCAGTCGATATATTTGAACTCCAATATCAGAACTCGATCTAATAATTAACTGAGTCCACAATAATCTTTTAAAACTATTTAACATTTCAAGCATCCAAAAGGTCTACACATAGGAAGGATAGAGTTATAGAATCTGAAATCAATTGATGAGGTCAAGCAAAAACCATCGTGCTGCAAAGAGTGAATCTAACACAATGAGAGGATTGATGCTGCCAACGATGAATTTTAACTTTCTCTTTGATGACAGAGCTACTGTCACTACGCGTGTCCAAACATGATAATTTATTGCATTCAATGAAGGAGAAACGGACACTAACAAAGAATTTTTGTTGGGACGAAGGAAGTAATTAAGGACTAACGGGATTTGTAATAAATTTTGATAAGGAGCTTTGGTTTGCCACTTAAAGAAGAGAAGAAAATGAGAAAATTTTTATAGAAAATTTGAAAAAAAATAAAAAAAATTGCAACATAGAGAAGAAATGAAGAATCTAGAACCTTAGTTCCTTCTAAAGCTCTCATACCATGTTAGGGTCAACAACTCTCTATACGAATGGTGAATTTCATTGAATAAAAATCTGAAGCTAGGCAGCTCATGAGTACACCTTATAATATACATAGGCTGAACAATGAAAGGAAGTACTGTGCCCACATGGAAGCAAGGAAGTACTGTGCCCACATGCAAGCAAGAATTGTATTATACTGTAACAAAATTAGTACGAAACACACAATTTTCACAATTCATAGTTAGCAGCAAATAGTTGAAGTCAGTTACCAGTATTGACGAGTTCGAAAACCTTGCTTGAAAACAACCAGAGGTCTGAAAAATTCAGGGGGGGGAATGGGTAAAGTAAAACAATGAGGCCGTGATATTCGATTTAGATAATTACCAATCTAAATCGAATTAAATATCATTAAACGAATGCGCTTAAGGAAGTTTATTTATTTAGTTTGTACCTTGTGACGTTAAGAGGGCCTTCTCCAGGAGAGCCTTCGCCACCTCGGATGCAAGTGGTGACACACTTAATTGTGCAGGATTCCGCTTTCCTTGACTTGGGTTTCTGTATTCTAGCTTTCTTGCAGTCTTTGGCCGACGTGCACTCACCGGACAGTGTTTGGGGTATGTTGGATAGAGTCTCCGGCTCCGCTGTTGCCACAGAAGCTATCACCACACCAGCTGTGAGGAAGCTAGTAAGTGCCAAACCGTAGCTGCTGCATCCTCTACTAAGGGATTTGCAAGTGATGCTTCTACCTCTACCTCTGGTCAACTCCTTATTACGCCAATTGCTCTCACTCTCAATACCTCCAAGTCCAACACCTTGGAAAGGAACCGAGGATCCATAAATTAGCATTATCTTCGTCTGCTCTCCCTTGAAATCTCATTAAATTACCATTTTATCTTCTTCTGCTTTTCTGTACACTACACTTTTGTCTTCTCGCTCTCTAGTTGACACATAGGGTGCATTTTTTGTTATCCTTCTATTCGCAACTCAGCCTCACATTCCCCGCCAACCATGAATATTTTAACCGAAATAAAATCATAAGAGCAAATTACTCATCCTTCTCTAAAAATTTGTTGGTATATATATATATATATATAGAGGGATGATGTTTTGACACCGGTGTCAAATTTGAAATTTGACACCTCATCTGAGAGCCGTTAGATAAAAAAAGATCAATGGTGTCACATGCTTAAAAATCAGAGTCGTTGATCTTTTTTGATCTAATGGCTTTCAAATGAGGTGTCAAATTTAAAATTTGACACCAGTGTCAAAGAATCCTACCTCATATATATATATATATATATATATATATATATATATATTGCTCTGACTTCTCTCTCTTTAGATTTTTCATGGAGTTCTTGAGGATTTTTGCATAGTGAAACTCTATTAGTCAAGTAAGTCTTAATATTTGCTTTCTATATTTTTGAATTACTGCAATAGATATGTTATACTAGGGCTTAGGAAATTGTTAATGACCTAGGAAATTGTTAGTGACCAAGAAAATTGTTTGCGACTTATTGTACGAATTGATAATGACCTAGGATATACTTTTGCGACATGGTTAGTGATTTATAACGTGCTTAGTGGCTCGAAACATGGTTAGTGACTTGAGTTATGAGTAGTGACTTAGGACAATTATAGTGACTAGTAATATATACATAGTATAATGACCCAAACCTGTAATTGTGGATTCAATTATGGATTAAGGAATTTATGGTAAATATTGAAGAGTAATTAAATGGAAAGTCTAATTAAAATGAACTAAAGTCACCTTTGGTGGAAAAGAGTAAAAATAACAGTATTGGGGTAAAAATGAGGGTAGGCAAAGTTACCCGAAATTTAAAAGTAAATTGGTAGATATTACCACAAAAATATTATAGACTATTGTGTAAAGTTTGAAAAAGAGTTAAGTGAACGAGATAGATAAGTTTATATCAGATTGGACAATATAATTCACTTAAATGACTCAGGGCATGTTTGATGCATAATATAGGATAAAGTCTCATAGTATAAGGCCTGATAGTATAAGACCTGATTGTATAAGACCTGATTAAATTTTAATATTATCCAGCGTTTGGTATGGTATTGTATAAGATAATATCCTCTAATATTTTAAAAATTAAAATATTAAAAAAAATTATTTTAATATATTAATATTGAAATGTTATATTAGTTCTTGAGAATTGTAATTGTAAGCAATATTAATACATCAACCCCTTATCAGGCCTAATCCACCCCCTTAGGCCGGATTAAGTTATACATCATTTTGATGTATTAAGGGGTTATGCTGTATAAACTTATACTATACGATGGTCACACCAAACAACTGAAAATGTCATAACGTATAGTATAAGCTTATACTATCAAGCCTTATACATCACACCAAACAGGTCCTAAAGAAAGACACAAGAGCCCCACATTTCAGCCTCCTCCTTCGTTCTTCTTCGACAGCAGCCATTGGAAAGGAAAATAGAGTAAAACTTTAAAAGCTTGTAGATTGAGCTGGACACAACGAAATTCAACGATTCCAAAGCCAAAACACTTCAAATCCTCTTCTCTTTCTAAACTATAGCTCATTTTCGGTTGGGGTTCATTGTGGAGTGAGATATTTCTTCCTCAAAGCCACGAGTTTGTGAGGATTTTTGTTGATTTTGGGGGTGTTTTAAGTGCAAAAAAGCTTGGGAACTTCTTCCCCTTCGTTCTAGGTTGGATTGTGGTAAGATTCCCCCACTCAAATCTCATTTTCATGAATTTTCAAGAAAGTTAGGTTGTATGTGAATAGTAACACAAAATTTTGATGATTGGAGGTGTTAGAGGTCATTTTGTATGTAATGTCCTTTGTTAAACATGCTTAGGATTGGTTCCCGTAAAAGGAAAAAAATATGAAATCGTCATTTAGAACACTTTAATAAATTGGACTCAAAATCAAGTGTATTTGTCTTGTATGTGTAGTCTTGGAAATGGATGTCATTGGTGATGTATATGCTTGTTTGAATTGATAGTGGTGAACCAAGCGAAGTGATGATGGAGGAACTCCCATTAGAACTACCAAGTGACCAAGCGTAGGTTCTTGAATTTCCAAGAATAAGGTAAGTTATCCAACTTAAACCTCTTGGTGAAATGTTAGCTATTGGATTAATGTGTTATGTATAGCATATGTATTGATTAGAGGTGGTAATATGGGTTGAACCCGACGGGTCAACCCGCCAACCTGCCAAAACGGGACGGATTGGGTTATACCTTTCAACCCACCAACCCGCCCCGTTTAGTTGTGGGTCAAAATGGGTTGGGGGCGGGTCGGGGCTGGTTGGCCCGCGAGTCAGTATTTTTTTTTTTTTTTACTATTAGGTAGTATTTTTTTTTTTTTGTAATATAGGTAGTATTTTATTTGTCACTGAGCTTTTGTGATATACAATTTTTTTTTTATTTTAGTACTCCCCTAGAAAAATAAAGAAGAAAAAATTTATTTATGACAAATGTTATCTATATATAGAGGCAAAAATAAGTTTCTAAAAAATATTTGACTGAATATTAGCTTATATTTAGGCTTCAGATTGAAAAAAAATTAAGGAAGTGTGAAATAAAAATAAGTAATATTATAAAATTAATAAAATATAATTTATTATTTTTTAATTATTTTTTGTTTTTTAGGTGGGTTGACCCGCCAACCCACCTCAAAACGGGGTGGGTTGATGTTTCCATCCCACCATCAAACGGCGGGTCAACCCGGCCCGCTGCGCTTTTGGCGGGTTGAAGGTGGGTCGGGATGGGTTGGTCCGTTTTGCCACCTCTAGTATTGATCACACTTGTAACCTTTAAATAGGTGTTTTGGTGTGAAAGTCTTGTGAACTTGATTGCTTGGACTACAAGAAAGTGTAAAAGAGGAAGCTTACTTGAGGTAAGCTTTTTGTCATTGGGGTTAATCCCTCGTTTGTTCCATCAGACTCCGAGGGAGGATGGTTCTTTGATATGATATGTTGAAAATGAATTGTTATATGGTGCATATATATATGTATGTTTGTTTTGTGCCACACAAGACGGTGTTTCCTTGTGTGAAGCATAAGACGGTGCTTCTTTATGTTAGTATGAGGTTGTGTTTCCTCATACGGGTATGTTCCAAGACGGTGTTTCCTTGCGTAATGCATACATGTTGTATTCTCTAGCCAGTAGGATTCATTATTGCACACATTCATTAATATACACATTCTGATGCATACATAATTTTTATATTGTTTTATGCCTGAAGTGAACCTGGGGGTGGAGGAGCCCTCCAAGGACCCATAGTTTGCTGAGATGATTATCTCACCCTGTATTATAGGGATTACCATTTTAGGTACAGTAGCTGAGGATGCTGAGGCATGGAACAACAAGAGGCCGGAGGAGAGATACTATTTGACATGATGTCTATGATTTAGCCTGTTATTTTAGTTATGTACATGACATGCTTTATGGGTTTTTACTATCTTTTGAGATATATATGTCATGTTCTTATTTCGGAGAGCATATGGGATGTCTATGCTATGTTGATAGTCTGTATATGTTGTCAGTGATGTACACACAGGTCTATGTTACTTATTTAATTACATCTCTTATTTATTTGATGTAATTACATAAGTAATATTATGGACATTATTTTGAGATCTGATGGTTATATGATAGCCTAGGCCATGGATGGCTATGCAATATAATTTATGTAAGTACATTTATGCCTGGATTATATTAAATTATTAATTAGGTTGAAATTATCATGGTGAAAATTACTCCCAGTGGACCAAAATACAAACAAAATGTCGTATGTTTCATTTTGACCAAAGAGGCGATGAAGATTGCAATACATAAGGAAAAGAAAAGAAAAAATTAATCACAATTTTATACTAGGTCTAGTCTAGTGATTTATGAAAAGAGCTTCCACGTTTAATTATTTAAACATGTTGCGCTTAATATCATATATATGTTAATATACTGGGTGCACACATGGTGTTACACATAGGAAATTTTATTCATGCTTAATAAATTAGATTATGCAAACATACTTTTAGGATGGATATTAATTTTGATCATAGTTAGTCTAATTTATCATGTGTAGTGACTTAGGACATACATGACGAATTTATTATGCTTAGTGATTTTGCATTAAAATTAATAAAAAATTTATTTGTATAAATAAAATAAGGGATGAAATTCTTTATTCTTATAGGAGTATTAGTCAAAATTCAAGTTTGAAACTCATGTAATTAGTCTAATATATTTTTAAATTTTGTACTAGATAGGTAAATTATTTCAAATTAAATAAATTATAACAATCAATTTATAATTTTTTATAGTATATTATTATAGCTGAGTCATCATCATTTGAGTCTCCACGGTCTTTATCTGAGCATGAGTCCGACTCTATCGATCCCACCACACATGTTCTTCCTACACCATACAGTTGGGACATACTCTGGAGACAGACACAAGCATGCATGTTTCACTGGTTGTGTGGAACGAGGACAAGATTTGACCGCTGAAGTCTCGACGAGGTAGATGTTAGAGGGACCACAACCTGACGATATCCCAGACGTGGTCGCACAGTACCTGATATAGACCAGATTCATACATGTCGCACGCATGCGACATATTCAGATATGCTTGCAGGGGAGTTTGAGTATATTGGCAGATATAACTGGGGTCTACAGTTCTGGTCCATTTGTTTAGACAGTTGTGTGAGTGTACTGACGTGGACAGATCAGACATTGGTGGGTGCACCATTGTGCTTCAGATCTGGGTGTGGCTCAGATTCCCACTTATTACTCCCCCTCTTCCTCTTGACATCGGTATGTATCTTTTGTATTTCTTAATTAATTATCTTTTTTTGAGTATTATAATTAATATTTATATTAAATTTAGAAATTAGGTTTAATGCTTTAGGCCGCTTTAGAGCACATGAGATTCTATGGTATCGGGACAAACTATACACGTTATGTAGAGATGAGGTATGTTATATATTTTTAAATTTCAAAGAGTGCGTGGTTGCATATGGTAGTGAATACTGACTATATATTTATTTATTGTGTAGGTGGTTTGACAACCATACCTCGACTACCATTTCTTGGATGCATCTGATCGTGAGCGGTATTTGTGGATGACCAGGACACCAGTTATCTGTTATCACATTGCTGAATATTGCCAGCATGATAGATGCATGCGAAAGTTTGGTAGGGATTAGCCGATACCTCATAGGCCTAGAAAACTAAAGGGTGTCAATGACTATACCTTTTGGGGTAAAAACGGATGATAATTTTCCTTGTAAGCTGAGGAAGTTTACAGAGAGATGAGAGATCGGAGGCAACACAATGAGGTGCCTCTCCATTGGAGGGCTTGATGTCACCCAACCATGAGTACATGATTGGTACATGCAGAGAGGCAAGCAATATGTGATGAAGAGAGCTGCGAAGGTTGAGGGTTGTATAAGTTATTTATGTTTATTATTTCAATTATTGTTATTATATTTATTTTTTTTGCTTATGTATTTATGTTGTGAGTTACAGGCTGATGGCCTGAAAATGCAGTATTTCGTGACCACTCCTGAGCAATTCACGGGCTACTCTTAGGTGAGGAAATTGGTAGCATTTTAGCAATTTGCAGAGAGATCTTAGGTGGAGGAGACAGGACCACGACCCAGGTTCCAGATGAGCCATAATTGTCATTGACATTGGGAGTCGTGCAAAAGAGGGACGCGTGATAGGACACCGTCGGCGACCGATCGACAAGTTCCTAAGCATATTCAAGGACCCAGGCCACGCATGGCTGGATGTTACATGCCTTGAGTGGTTGGTCATGAATACAACACTCAGCCTGCGTATTATGAGCCCCCTTTGTATGAGGATCAACGAGATTATCCTAGCCAGGCTGGTACGCATCCATTGATGGACTCACAGATCCAGCCAATCCAGTGGCCATGGCATCCGAGCACGGACAGACTAGTTAGGCACAGAGCAGAGTCACGCGCATCAGTCATGGACTCAGGCACATTTTGACGATATTTACAGCTCTTTGAGTTTTGTCCTAGACAATTTAGATTATCTACCACAACAGCCGACCGAGACCACCCCAGCTCCGGCACCATGTGCCCGCATCATCTTCCATCTTGCTAGTTATAGCTACAACTAATTTTTTTACAGGTTGCGACATAAAATTTTGACATTCCAGCTTCAGCTTCAGCTCTAGATCCTGCTTCATATCCATATGCAGACTTGCCTGTATGTTGAGTCTTCACGCGTAGAGGGCATACGCAAATTGTCATATCATCAGGTGTGTCATCAGCAGTGGCCTCCTCCGTCGTAAATTTTATCTTTTGTATTTCTTATTATGTCATGGACTGTATTATAGTTATGGACCTTTTATATTTTTTCATCACTTTCTTTTATGTTATGGACTGTCTAATATTTCTTACTTTTTTTTTCATATTTGGTTATTAAATCGACGGTTTTATTAATCTCTTTTTACATAAGATAGGTATATTATGTTGTAGAGAGAAACTATATGGGTCTCACCATTACAAAAAAAAAAAAAAGTGAAGTGCGAAAATCGAAGTGAGAGATAAAAGAAGACTAATATTTCCCTTAAATCAATTAGCATTAGTAATTTAACATAGAAACCAATAAATTAATACATTAATTATAACAACCCTGATTTATAAAAGGTCTAATTGCATTGGATTAATCATTTAATCATGCATAAAATGAGTAATTAAGTGAAAGACTTAATTAAATTAAAGTAAATAATAATTAATCACATTATAAATAAAATAAGTGGACTCATTACAATTTAAAGAACTGAGTTTTCATTACAATAAGTTTTTTGAAGTTTTCAAATAAATAAAAAAAAGAACTGAGATTTTTTATGCATTGCGGTTTAGAAACCAATCATAAAATTTGGCTTGATTTTTCAATCTGAAGCGAATATCTCCAGCTTTCATCGTGTAGGCTTTCCTCAAGACCCATCTTAATGATTCATCCATCTTTGAAACAAAAGAAAAGAAGAAAATAAATGAAATATAAAGATAATATTAATGAAGGAAAACATTGAATGTATACATCAAAAAATAATGGGAAAAATATATATCATTTTAAAATATGTAAAGTTGTGTCATTTTAAGTGAGAGAAAGAGATAGATAAAAGAAGAAATAGTGGACAAAAAAATATAAAGATGTAAGTCTCACCTCTTTGTGAGAGTGAAATGACACAAGTTATATCATTTAAAAGGACAAATACTTTTTCCAAAAATAATTTTCATTAACACTGCCAAAATATGTCCAAATCACTTTAAAAATAAGAGTCTCTAAACATACACGAGTCATAAAATCTTGCATTTGAGCAAAAAACAAATTTGCAAAATTAAGTTCGTAAACTCTAATCAAAACATGTGCTAACAAGTGGGCTCTCTTGGGAAATATAAAATTGAATTTTCTCATAAAAGAGACAGATGCTACTACGAATTTCCTTAACAACTAAGATTCTAATTATTTCTTTCATCTTTGAATAAAAAAATAACTACAAAAAGAGTCAATCTTTGAAGGCGGAAAGGAGGACAAAATACGACTTGATAGTAACCTCTAACCTCCATCCCACACTTGTAAGACATTTCAGAAGAATAGGACTATAGTACAATTGCCACACAGAATGACCATTAGGCATGATAGGAGAAGCTGACAAAATCAAAGAATCACCAAGTCGACCCGCATACACAGACACACGACCCTTATGCCCAGCTGGACCTTGTTAGTCCTTTGTATAAGGCATCACTAACAGGCTGAACTCTAAGATCCTCATGGGGACAATCATGTCGAGCAAATAGACAAGCGAATATCTAAGAATGTAATAGATTATGCCTTCCAATCACATAAACCATCCCCGAACAGCAGGTCAGAGCATGGTTCCCAGCAGTGTCTAACTGGAGCAAGGGCGAAGCTAGTGTATACCTCTGTCAGGAGGACTTTTTTTCAGAACATCCCATATTTACATGTATAAAATGCTCATACAGCATTGTTGGCAACTTCTGCAGCTCTCTGCCTCATCATTTCCATCACAGCAGCTCTTCTACGTGAATCAGACTGTTGCTGCAACCTCCTTAAATGTTCTTTTAAATCTCTGATTTAACCCAAAAAGAAAATGTTATACATACATAATCTATAAACAGTAACTTGAGTAAATGGGCATGCCTGACCCACAAACCTGCAACGGGGTACATGGCACTTGGATTCTTTGCAAGCACGGGCATGAAGTTGAAGCAAATACCACATTTTCTTGCAAAGAACACAACCTCCGGAAGCACGTGTTTTGCACTGTATCCCATGACGGAAAAGCCCCTTCACCTTGCGACAATTTGGATATTGGCAATGCCAAGAACGACATTGGGATGCATGCACAAGAAGATCAAGCATTTTTCGTAACTGTAAATTACGAAATCCACTTATATCAGATCTTATATAGAAAGTTGCAATATCACCAATAAGCATGGTGAAAAAATGAGATAGCTAGTCAAAATCATGTCATAACTATAAAGAATTTAATAATAATTGAAGTATCGTCACATGTAATAATACAATGAACCCCGCACCTGCCCTCCCCCAATTTTTTTTTAGTTTTTATTTTTTATCAGTCCAATGGTAATTGTCATAAAAAATTCAACAAAGTTAACATTGACTGCCGACTACCTAGGGGATACAGCTTTTTTTGTTGCTGCTGTTGTCATTGATAATCATCAAATATATGAACCTCAACAACATACATGTTCTGCATATATATGAAATTCAAGAAAAATTCCTAATTCTTATGCTCAAATTCACATTATATAATTTTATATGTTTTACATGTTAGAAAATATAAATGGAAGCAACTCTTTTTCATGCTCAAATTTCAAAACATATGAATCAATTACTGCTTTAATTGACATGCAATATAACCGAGTGAGATACAGGCAGAGTAATTGAAATGGACATGTACAGGAACAAATAAAATTTTATACAATACCTGTAGTACTCGAAGTTGCCTTGCTTCTTTGCTCTGAGCATCGCGATCTGCTATTGAAGGATGATTTGTCAACTTATGAGGATGACTAGTACCTCCATCCTTTTGGTAACAGGCATTGCATACATCATACTCGGGGCAAACTTCACAACGCCAACCTTGACCAGTTTCTATGTCAAGACGGCACATATTACATATTGTAACAAATGCAGGTGCAGTTGGATTATGAAGATGATAGAGAACCATCATTGAGGAATGCTTGGCCCGTCTTAGCGTATCATATTGATAATGATTTCCCTGGCAGAGACTCAGAAATGCCTGTCTAGTGTCAAAGAATTCACTCTCAAGAATCTCGTCTTTGTCCTTTGTATCATCAGGTACATCAGTAATTTCAACCTGCAAGAAGATACACGTTACTAAAAAAATTCCAAATCCATTTTTTTCTAATTGGCTGCTACCACAAGAATATATCAGGTCAAATTTTGAACTCCATAATTTATCTAACACCTTAGTTCCTCAAAAGTAGAAATTATGCAGATACCAAGGTGATTGACTGCCAAGGGCTAACCAATATCCAAACAACAATACATAAGAAATGAACTAGTTCATAATCAATCACTTTACATGTCAATAATAAATATGACTGCTTACTCACAGGATAAAGGGTGTGTTTCTCCCTCTGATTAATAGGATGTTGTTCTCTCTCTTCACGCTTTAGTTCTGCTTCATAACACCTAAGAGAACATAAATATAATGTTATCAATATACTAAATATCTTTAAATATAGGAGAAAAGGTAAAACAGAGTGTGTTTGTGTGACAAGCAAAGTTGCTTGGTTGAGTTTGGAATTGGTTCAGTTGACTGGCAATATAAGAAAAGGAGAAAGATCATAAAAAGAAAGTCAACAATGAATACCAAATGTAACATTGAGAGGTATTATGCCAATAAATCTCTCCTTTATCGAGACAATATCCCCAACAGTTTCAATATTTTCCAAGTTAGTAGTAGTACTAAAACAATGAGATACAAATTACAGAAGCTCTCTTCAAATATGATATACAAAGTATGAGGATCAATTTATTATAGGTGGATAGAGACAAGTCACCATTTACCCTTAGAATTCCACAACCTTGGCTACAAAACAACGGACTTTACAAAAGTGAAAGAAAATGTATAAACTCAAAATACTGGAAGGATACAGAAAAAAGACACCAGATGTAGTAGAGAAATTATTAAATAAATGACAAGCAAATCAGGAGCAAAGAAAAATAAAATTCTACTAGGACTTTTAATACCTATGCTTTTTCTTTTTCTTTTAATATAATTATATAAGATTGTTATATATGTAATATAAAACCATTCATGCGTCTTTACCTAGCAACTTAAGCTTTTAGGAAGTTGGTTCATGACATGGTATTAGAGCCTTATGACTAAGTGGTCTAAAGTTCGATTTCTGCCGCCCACATTCTTCTAATAAAAATTTCGGCACAAATGTCTAGGCTTCAATCCCAAGGGGCTCTTGGCATGAGGGTGCATGTAAGAGATGTAATATAAAACCATTCTTCACTAACAACTTAAGCTTTTAAGAAAGTTGGTTCATGACAAAGATAATTTCTACCATAGGCTATAATTAAAGCAATAGTGTGATAATATATTAAGGATTTCTCAAATTCCCATCATTAAATCAAAATTAATGTTGATCAACATTAATGTCAGCCTTGGAGTGGACATAGAAAACTACACAGCAATTCAAGACTCCTTTCTCTCTTTTGTTGGAGAAGACACAATTTAGATAAAGTGAGATTTTTTTTAATAAAAAGATAAAAGTGTGATAATATATTTTTAACACATTTTAATTGACAGGTTTCATGACAATACAAGAAGATTGAAGAATCCTTACTTGTCACAAATCTGAAAATTCTTGCACTGGTTGCAAACCCAACGGTTGCCAGACACCATTAGAATACAACAATGAGTGCATGCATGCTGCAAATGAACCATGATAAAATCTTCCTTCATTGGGGAAATGGTTTCACCGAGCTGGAGAAAGATCAAGAGACTTGTAATAAGAAAACTATTATTTCCACACAAGAAAACCCTATTAAATGCAATTAATCAAGAAGTCATTACTGTTTGAAGATCTAGTTATATAACACCCAAAAAAAATTAATGCATGATTGGCAAGGTACTTCATTTACCCAAACGAACAATAACATTATCTAATGAAGATCTAAAATGTAAACTACCTTGTGCATTAGGAGCAGATCTTTTGAGGCGTTTCCAGAAAGATCTGACTGACCAGAGGCTTTCAAAGCCCTTTTTGTTATAGCCTTTTTAGTTGTTCCTTTCTTATTTTGTTTTCTTCCATCTTCCTCTTGGCGAAGCTGATAAATCAAATCCTCTGCAGCCCCAGGCCAGTAGTCACCATCAAAATATGGGAGCCTTGCAGCTGTAACCTTAGCCCTGCATTCACCAGTAGATACAAAGAAATGGTCGTATAAGTTGGTGAGATCGGCCACAATATTTTCCTTGGTAGCTTTTCTTAACATGGACAGGTACCTGAAGAAAAATGTTTACAACAAAAACTAGAGTTAGAGATGAATAAACCTTGCATTTTGTACATGTGAAACAATGAGGCAACTTTGTCTCTCTCTTTTTGTTTATCCTGAGACTTTTAGACTTACCATTCCCTAAGCTTATCAGATTTTGGAGTTTTCTGAATTTCTGGATGACAATATAAAATATAATCTTCACCCTTTAATGGAGGACATGCCCATATATAGCAGCTTGTAAAACCGCGTTTCTTGCAATACTCAAGGTATCCAATCTAAAAAGAAACAAATTATAATGAAAATTACTCAAATATTTTATAGAATAGAAATTACATGAAGAAAATAAGTCGGAATTTGAATGTCTCCAAGAAAGGGTTCCAAAAGGACATATAATAGACATTACACGAGCAAGAAATTAGCAAAAGTTTACCAGAATTTCATGGTAAACAAATGTCCGAAGAGCCTCTCCAGACACTGTTTTAACCTCAGGCCTAAAATACTTGACAGAGTCCAGATATGAAAGATAAACCCGACGTTGATTAGGAAATTGGCATTCACATCCAAATTCTTGAACATACATGCCAAAGAGGCATACTTCCACACCTTCAATCTTCTGAAACAACAAAATTACCTGGAATGGAAATCCAAGGTTATCAAAATTCATGATGAATAATAATTATTCAATTACTATCGGAACTATTAAAGCAGCCTTCCCATTACCTTTGATTTATATGGGAATTCTGTTGGGTAATTTTCTTCCTGAAAAATCTCCAAAAAGCGCTGTTTAACTTCTAACTTCTTGTCAACAGATGACACAACTCTTATAACAAGCGCTTCAGCTCCAGGCACCTGGTAACATTAATTAAAAATGTTTATATATAGCCAGCATAAACAAAATGCCACCACAATGGAATTAACATTAACATCAACATTAATGTTACCAAGATAAACACACACACACACACACAAAGAGCAAGTATATATTAACATTAACATCAACATTACCTTTATCCCAAACAGAAACAAGAATTTGTAAAAGGGTAAATTTGAACGATGAAATTATAAATTGAATCAAATAAACTTCTTCTAAAGCATACCACTGATATAAGAAACATCATGATTACAATAATTACCAAGTATCCATTACTTAGTCACAATTTAACTAGCCTGTCAAAAAAAAAAAATCAATGCTACACAAGCTACATGCAACAGCGCAAGGAAAAAGAGGCAATAAGTGACATCACTACATCAATATCAACATCAATTGGGGTCACCGATGAACCCAAATAGAAAGTATTGAAAAGAAGTTTTTGTATATTGATATTGAATAAATTACATGAGTGAGTATTTATACAAGAAAGAATCGCTAAGAATGACTAAGCGATGACTAATCAATCCTATCACAATCCTAATCACAATCAATTCTAATCAATCACAATTAATCCTAATCAATCATAATCAATCCTAATCAATCATAATCAATCCTAATTAATAGGAAATAAAAACGGAAACATGTTTGAATTCTAATTTTCTACACTCCCCCTCAAGTTGGGAGGTAAATATTGATCATTCCCAACTTGCCAATCAAGTCTTCGAATGCTGGACGGTGTAGGCCCTTGGTAAGGACATCTGCCGTTTGCTCTTTGGTTGGAACATATATCAAATGCACACTTCCATCATCTAATTTTTCTTTGATGAAGTGACGATCAACTTCCACGTGCTTTGTTCGATCATGATGCACAGGATTTTGAGCAATGCTAACAGCTGCCTTGTTGTCACAATATAGTTTTATTGGTAGGGAATATGAAATCTTCAACTCTTGAAGAAGTCTTCTCAACCAGATTCCTTCACAAACTCCATGAGCTAAAGCTCGAAATTCTGCTTCAGCACTACTTCTTGCAACCACTGTTTGCTTTTTGCTTCTCCAAGTAACAAGATTTCCCCACACATAGGTGCAATAGCCTGAGGTAGATCTTCTGTCTACTGATGAGCCTGCCCAATCTGCATCAGTGTAGATTTCAATTGTCCTTTTATACCCCTTTTTAAAGAATAATCCTCTTCCTGGAGTATTCTTGAGGTATCTAAGCACCCTATAGACTGCACTAAGATGCTTCTCCTTGGGTGAGTGCATGAATTGACTAATCATACTCACCGCAAAGGCAATGTCAGGACGCGTATGAGATAAGTAGATTAGTTTACCAACCAATCGCTGATATTGTTCTTTATCCACCTCATTCCCATCTTCAATACCTAACTTGGTATTAGGTTCCACAGGTGTCTCAGCAGGTTTACACCCTAACATTCCTGTTTCCAACAAAAGATCTAGAACATATTTCTTTTGTGTTAGAGTGATGCCTGTTTTTCTCCTAGCAACTTCCATACCAAGGAAATATTTGAGAGTGCCAAGGTCTTTGAGTTCAAATTGAGCTGCTAGAAATTTCTTCAAGGTGTTCAATTCCTCAATATCATCACCTGTAAGAATTATATCATCTACATATACAATAAGAATAGCAATTTTACCATCCTTAGAGTGTTTGTGGAAGAGAGTATGATCAGTCTGTGCTTGAATGAAGCCTCTTCTTTTGACTGCTTGTGTGAATTTGTCGAACCATTCTCTGGGAGACTGTTTCAATCCATATAGAGACTTTTTTAGTTTACACACTGATTCATTTCCCCTTTCAAAACCAGGTGGAGGATCCATATAGACTTCTTCATGTAAGTCACCATTTAGGAATGCATTCTTCACATCTAACTGTTGCAGAGGCCAATCTAGATTGGCAGCAAGAGATAAGAGAACTCGGATGGTATTGACTTTAGCAACCGGAGCAAAAGTCTCATGATAATCTATCCCATGAGTCTGAGTGAAACCCTTTGCAACCAATCTTGCCTTGTATCTGTTGATGCTATTATCTGCATTGAATTTTATTGTAAACACCCATTTGCATCCTACTGCCTTTTTTCCTTTGGGTAGGGTCACTATCTCCCAAGTTCCATTTCTTTCTAAAGCATTCATTTCTTCAAAGACAGCATCCCTCCATTTTTTATCATTGAGAGCCTCATGTATATTTCTCGGTATCTTTGTACTATCCAACATAGTATTGAAAGCACGAAACCCTGGGGACAACTTTCCATATGAAATATGATTAGAAATAGGATGAGTAGTACAAGATCGAGTACCTTTTCTGAGAGCAATGGGCAAGTGTAGATCATTTTCACCATGACACTCAAGTATTGGGGTGCTGGAACTAGAACATGGTTCAGAATCCTGGCAGTGTAGAGGCTCTGGGTTATTCACACTTTGAGGAGGCTTTCGCCTGCTATAAACTTGTCCCCATTTTGAAGAGGCTCCTGATGGTGAGGATTCTGTAGCTCCCCCTGTTTCCAAAAGTAGAGGTAATACTGTGGCATTAATAGGTTCCCATGACTGATCTTCATCTACTCCTATAGACTCCCCCTGAAGAGAAGTCGAGGGGAAGAAAGGGTCATTCTCAGAAAAAGTGACATCCATAGAGACAAAGACCTTACGAAGAGAGGGTGAATAACACTTATAGCCACGTTGAGTAGGAGAATAACCAATAAAGACACACTGGAGAGACTTAGGATCAAGCTTAGACCGTTGATGGGAGGGAATATGGACAAATACAACACAACCAAATAACTTGAGAGGTAAGGAGGAGACACCTCGGAAGGAAGGGAAGATACGAACAAGACTAGAAAGAGGAGACTTAAATTTCAGAATGCGAGATGGCATTCGATTTATCAGATACGAGGCAGTGAGAACTGCCTCTCCCCAAAGATATTTAGGAACACTCGTGGTAAACATAAGAGCCCGAGCAACTTCAAGGAGATGTCGGTTTTTTCTTTCCGCAACTCCGTTTTGTTGGGGTGTGTTAGGACACGAGCTTTGGTGAAGGATGCCATGTTGGGAAAGATATTCTCCAAGAATAGAGTTAAAATACTCTTTGCCATTATCTGTACGAAGAATTTGTATAGCAACTTGGAATTGGGTTTGAACCATGGCATGAAATTTTTTAAACACGGATGCAGCATCGGACTTATCCTTTAGAAGATACACCCAACAAACTCGAGAATGGTCATCAATGAAGGTAATGAACCATCGAGTACCTGAAATATTTTTAACACGGGCTGGACCCCATATGTCGCTATGAATTAAGGAAAATGGGGAAGAGTCATGGTGAACTTTAGAAGGATAATGAGCACGAGTATGCTTGGCAAGTTGACAAATATCACAAGAAAACAAACTTGGACTTTTATTAATAAATAAGTTTGGCAACAACTTCTGAAGATAAATAAAATTTGGATGGCCTAGCCTACGATGCCACAGCATAACATCATTACATGAATCAAAAGGAAACATAGAGTTTTTTTCTACGAAAACAGCTTCATGAGTCACATCCTCCTCAAAGTAGTAAAGTCCACCATCCTCTCTAGCACTGCCAATCATCCTCTCCGAGTCCTGTTCCTGAAAAACACAACCATGTGGAGAGAATTTAGCAAAGCAATGCAACTCAGAGGTGAGCTTGCTAATGGAAATGAGATTACAAGTCAGAGAAGGAACATAAAGAACTGATGTCAAAGTAATCAGCTCAGAAAGTTTAATGGTTCCGTGTCCCGCAATCTGGGAAAAACTGCCATCGGCGATCTTGACCCGAGAAGGTTCAGAATATGGAGTGTATGAACAAAACAAGCCAAGATTACCTGTCATATGATCAGAGGCTCCAGAATCAAGGATCCAATGATTTTGACTATCAACATGGAAAGTTGTACCTTGCTGGACCACATGACTAGTGGCCTTAGGAGGTTGCTCGTGGTAATAAAAAGAGTGTTTTGAGGAAGCCATGAATAAAAAGAGAAGGGTTGACCGTTGATGAAAAATCAAGTTTTGTAAACTTTTGATCTGACCTCTGGAACAGGAAGGGGAGAAACCGGCGAGAAGGTCTGTGCAAGTCGCGACGGAAAAAAAACGTCTGGAAGGCGGCGCGTGGTGGCGCGTGCAGCGGCTGACGGCGATGGGTCCAGCGGCGGTCGACTCGTCGGATCCTTCTGAGTCGAATGGTCACCTCACTTTTTTGATCGGAGGTCAGTAAACTAGGTTTCTGTGTTGGACAGATTCAAGGCGGTGTTTAGGAGGTGTTTGACGGTGATGGAAGTGTTTGGATGGTTATTTCAGATTTGAATTAGGGTAGGAACGAACCCGCTCTGATACCATATTGAAAAGAAGTTTTTGTATATTGATATTGAATAAATTACATGAGTGAGTATTTATACAAGAAAGAATCGCTAAGAATGACTAAGCGATGACTAATCAATCCTATCACAATCCTAATCACAATCAATTCTAATCAATCACAATTAATCCTAATCAATCATAATCAATCCTAATCAATCATAATCAATCCTAATTAATAGGAAATAAAAACGGAAACATGTTTGAATTCTAATTTTCTACAGAAAGCAAGAAAAGTTTGAGGGAAAAGAAAAATAAATGAGAGAAAATTCGGAATGTATTTTGATTCTAGGGATTCTTCATAAAGCATCAGATCTTTAGGTTCTAACTAATAGATGATAACCTAAGCATCATTTCCAACCACGAACAAAGAAAAGCTTTGAATGGTTTTATTCCATGTCAAGTATCAACTTTCCTAAAAGCTTAAGCCATTATGTGGAAGAAGCTCGTAAAAGGTTTTATATGTAACAATAACAATCTCTACGTAGACAATATAAATTTAAAAAGCTATAGCAAGTACCAACAAGGAGATGAATTACCTCATCATAACTTTTCCCTTGAAGCCTGGCCCTCTCTAGTCTTTCTTGCTTTAGTCGCCTAAATAATCGTTGCTCTATGTGGTCACTGAGAATTGTTCTCGGTAAATCCTTGGCTCCAAGAACAGCATTTTGGGGTAAGGGATTGCGCTCACCTCTTTCCACTTCTTGGATATAGCAGTTAGGGCAAGTGTATTCAGCTTGTCCACCATCATTTCTTCGACCATTAAATAAGGCACATATTTGATGTTGCCAAGCTTCACATTTATCACATTGAACCCACTGCATGCAACAATAGATGGTTCAACATCAACATCAACAACACCTTTATCCCAAACTAGTCGGGGTTGAAGACAACAATAGATGGTCATTAAAACAAATAAACTGTCAATCAAATGAATAAAATAAGACATATGGTACGTACCCATTCCTCTGTTTCCTCATCATTTTTCTTCTTTTCCATCCTTGACTTAGGAAAGGGAGTCCCTTCAACAACAATGGTGTCTCCACGAGGCTCATTATAGCATGGAATACAAAAATAATGCCGGGTATCCCCAGTACCCATGGTATAATACATATTATTTCGTTTAATGCGAACACCACACGTTGTGCAATAAATAGGTGGTGGTTCAAAGGTAAGCTTCTCCACAGCACACAATTGACAGGAGTTCTCACTCATTGAATGCTCCATTGCTTGATTCTTCTCTGCTTTTGATTTGCTCTATCACAATAAAATAGATGCATCATGGTAAAATGAGGATATTAGAGACAATTAGACAAATATAAGGCATGAGATACAGCAACTGAACCTAACATAGTATTGTTAAATAATGGGATGATAAGGCTTTTCAAAGTGTACGCCACCAAAAGGACTCGATAAATTCCTTGAACATTTAGAAGAAAAATAGAATGGTTGAATTTATTGTTTTGGTTTGTTGCATAAAACATATTCACCTCATAAATATTATGAGAAACTAAGATGAAAACAAAATTGAGTGCAATATGTAAATTAATCCTCTAGAAGAAGCATAAGAAATTATATTTCATAAACTGGACAATCTGAGGAGAAAAGATTCAAATGCTGAAACAAATAATAAGCATATTATATGCACAAAACATCAAAGATCAGTAGATCACAACAACATAGATATTTACAAGTGTGTTATAATGTTAATTAGGAGCCCAAGTTTTGCATATGCATGATAAGCATAGTTCAGCACTGTCCAGCTGATACATTTGGTGTGGACTTGTTGGGGTGTTTAGTGAATATTGGGCATGCCCTCAAAGCTTGGAGCAATTTTTTTTTAACTAGGTTCAGGGCCTTTTGTAAGAGAAAAGCAGGGCATGCTGAATAAAGTTCCAGTGTTCCATAGTTTTTAAACTACATTGAAACTGGTTCATACTACCACTAAATTAATGGATTTAAAGTAACTTTCTCCTATGAAAAAAATTGCACAAGAATAAAAAACAAAACCTTACTTGGCCAACCCATTGCCTGAGGCCAGTTATATGTTCCCTGACTTGCTCGGGAGTAAACAGTTCAGTCAATGAGACCCCTTTTATTTTTGGTTTACCAGATTTGGTTCCAGCTGCATTTTCAGACGGCTGGATCACATTTTCTTGCTTAACTTGTCCAGTTTCTTTCTCTGTTTTAATATTTTCTGGCCTAGCTATATTCTCAGGCTCATCATAGGTGACAGGCTCACCAGCAGGCCCTTTATCATCTGCAATATCCTCATCCATTTTCATCTCCTCAAGATTTTCATGTCCTGAATGCACCTGAACTTCTACCTTAACTTCTGTAAACTCAGATTTAGTTGACATAGACACGTCACCACATGGATAAGCTTGGCACTGAGTATCCTTGGAATCTCGAGATTCACAATTTGGAGGAATAGATGAAGTAGAATTGTCATATTTGGGATTAATGGAATGGTTGTGCTGCTCAATTTTCATACGTTTTAGCGACGGGTGCAGGTCTTCCGAAGTTTCAACCATAAGGGGAGACTTTGAGATCAATCCAGGCGATGGGCCTACTACATTGTAGGATTTACAGGATCCATTTAAAGCAATTGGCAAACTTGATTCACAATCTTGCCGAATCTGGGGCTTACGTTGAAATGTGCGTCGATACTTTCTTACAAGAACACAAACAGGACAACATGGATCCTTGCATTTTATGAAATGATGAAGCAATTCCCTGGTATGACGACACCGAGGATATGGACAATGACGTAGGGTGCATTTATCTATGTGATTACATAACTTTTGTGCAATAGAACAATGGCGTTCCGGGCATTGCCCTTCTGGGGAAGAACACCGTCGAGCATGAAGTAAAAATAAAAGCCACCTCTGTTGATTCCTGTGTGTCTTCTTGATAGTTCTGCCTGAGTCTAGTTGCTCAGCTGAGCCTCTAGAAGCAACAGCTTGTCCAATAATAGATCCATCAGATCTTAAATTATTGCATTGAGCTTCGTCTTGCCCTGCTATTCTTTGATAAAAATCCATGTGGAGATGCTGCTCATGTGACATATTCCCAGAACTGTGGTTTCCATCTTGTGATTGAGGCCATTGATTTAGAAGTATGGATTTGGATTGTGACCCAACTGGAAGACAGCTAAAATTATTTTGAGACTCTGAAACCAATTGCTGTGGGTGCAAAATTTGTTGTGAAATTTGAGGTGTCGATGAGGATAAATCATGCTGACCAGAGGAAAAAGACAGATTTTGAGCAACCCTAGAACAATCTTCAGAAGAGTTCTGCTGTAACTGGTTCTGCATCTCAGATACATGGAACTGTTCAGAACCATAAGAATTGAGAACGTCTTTATGTTGTTCACCTCCAGGGTCAGACTTCTCTCGATTGTCTAGATTGGAAGAGAGCTGAGGCTGAGAGAAGACATCACTATTGACCAAATGCTGAGGTTGCTGGCTTTGCAGCTTCGGTTGAAATTGCTGTTGAGCATACTGCTCTGACTGTTGACATTGTTGGGGTCTTTGCTGATATTGCTGTTGAGTATGCACAAGTCCATCTCTTGAAGTCAATGAAGACTGAAAATTCAACTTTTCCAAAGGATTAATTGCTTGAGACTTTTGATGCGCAGTCTGATGCATACCGTGAGAATTGGAGTGACCACTTATCAGTGAGCTGGTTTTGGGCATTGATGAAAATTTTACTGAATTCATGTTCTGAGGGTTCATCATAGACCCAGAGGATGTCGCAGATGCATAAAAGGTTCCAGAAGCAAAAGTGTCAACATTACCCAATCCATATCCATCACCTGACAATGAGATTGTTAATTTGTTACCCTTTCTGTGAGATTCAAATTGGTACAGAGAAAAATATATCTTAATGTTCCCAAGAGTCCAATTGGGAAAAGTGTGCACATAGACATGCACCCACCCCACAAACAACAATATAGACAAAAAGATTATACCACTACAATGAGGGGCAGGGTAGGAGGTAAATCTCTCAGATTTAGTACTACATAAAATTAAATAAAAAGACGTAAGAGAGATTACCCTGCACTACTGGTTGCTGATTTTGATCAAAGTGCTGCAGTAAGTGTTTAGGGGAATTAGTGTACGTTGAGGCATAGTCATCAGTGCTCAGTTCATTTGCAAGTTGCATGTTATTTCCAATCAAGCCAAGCCCGTTATCTATAGAACCATTTGGACAAACAAATGATTTTTGCAGTAAACTAGATCTCGTTCCACTGCCCATTTGGCTGCCAACATTGTGCAACACACTATTGTTGTGGCCACTGACATGCAGCTTCTGCTGTGACTGCGACTGCAACTGTGATGCCATTGTAGAATCAACACCAGTAAATACACTGCTATGAGTTGAAGGATCTACATTTATAAATGAATGATTATTGCTGACACTAAACCCGGGAGTGGGAATCATCTGGCCTGCAATTCTTTGCACCCCCACTGATGACATGTTTCCTCCTGAAACAACGGAAAAATTGGTAGAAGACTGCTGGTAACCATTAGACAAACCTGCAATAAGGAGACCCAATAATGCAGGAGAAGAAAAGCAAAATGAAAGGACTGTGTAAAGAAATTTAACAACTAAAATTACCATCGGATCTATTCAAGGAATTGCCAAGCATGCCACCTGCTGGTAGCATGCTTACACTATTGACAGATGTAGATGTGATGCTATTACACCCACTGGCAGCAATCATTGAGGCATCCACAGAAGATGCTATCATCATGGTTGAATTTGTGACATGCGAAATACCAGGGGTTGGTATCATTGTACCAATTGGAGAAGAGCTAACAAGCTGTGGATATTGTTGGTTGTGATTGTTCACAGATGACCGTCTAAGGATATTAGTCAAACGACTCTCCAGTGTATCCAAATTCATATAGTCCTCCTAAAAGACAAATCCAGAACATCATAAACACTTAAAATAGTAACTGTAGACAAAATGCATACAAACTATAAAGCCAAAGAACAGTCCAAATATTGCGAAATTAACCCAGGAAAGAGCTTAAAGGTCCCAAGTTGTTACTTTTAGAATAAAAAATCTCAAGAATTTAAATAAAGGAAAAAGAAAATTAGCTAGAGGCTCAGAAAAACCTTAGAGAGAGCAGCTTTTAACATTCCCTCCTCCAGGCGTTTTGCAAGATCCTTAGCCTTCCTTTTATATACTTCTGTAACTGGGTGCGGGTACCGCTGCAATAGTAAATTACATCTGGAAGGGAAAGAGTAACATGTTTAATGTTGTTAAGTAAAATTGACAAGATAAGCACAAGATTGTCATAGTCTAATATTCTGTGCATATTATACAATTTTTCAAGTGAAAAAAAAAAAAAAAAAAAAAAAAAAAGAATGGAACCTACACTACGAGGGCCCTTGTCAATAACTTTGATAGAGTGAGCTAGCTAATACAAAGTCAACCCATAAAATTATGAAACTGAATAAAAATAAATAAATTGTCATATATTAGCCTATAAATTCAACTAAGCCTTACATCTGAGCCACAAGGCATTACCTTGGACATAAAAGAAATATATCAGAATAATTAAGTTTCCAAAAATATTATTTTACTTCCCTTTTATTTTTCAAGGGACGTGTTGAAATCATTGGAATTTAGGCATGGAGAAAAAGGGAGAAGATTGAATAATATTATATATTAATGTGATAAGAAGTGATTACAAAAGACAAAGCACTAATCCCTATTCACACTAAATAGGGGACTCCTAAAATAAGAAAACAAATCATGAAATATAAGGAAATAATGAAACTCATCCTACAGGACACTCTAAACTATATTATGACATAATCTTAATATTATACACTATCTCCTAGATATTATAACATTGTTTTTTCTTTCTAGCCTAATTTAATCCCACAATTACAACATCCCATAATCACATCCTAATTTACAGCTCAATGCCACATGGTATCAGAGCTGCCCTTATGAATATCATATGATTACTCTATTACAATTTACGAACACTTTTAACATTAAGAAGCAAGTAATAACAGAGATTTCTTCAATATCATTTTTCATTGTGAGGTTACTAAAATTGAAACATAAAACTAAAATTTAAATCAACCATGTGAAGCGCACAACTAAATACTGGTTACTTATCACTAAGAGTATCAACATCCCTATAAAAACGAATGATACCAACAAATCTTCAAAATAATGAATAGTAAATTAGAATGAAATGTGTTATTGATGTAATGCAAAATTGTCCACGTCTATTTCTGTATTTGTAATGTTTTATTGTATTCTAGTTAGTATAATTTAAAAAATTTCATTTTATCTTTCCTATTTATTTTATGAATTTATTTGAATTTTAAGGTCTATTACAAAAGAATTTGGAAATATCATAAAGACATAAAATGTAAAAGGATTTTATCCAAACCAAAAGCCTTACTCAAAATCCAAAATTTGTGAGGACAATCAATATCCTTATCAAAAAATAAAGAGCTAGAGACTTGGAAGGACTAAAAGACCAAAATAAACAAGAAATAAGAAATAAAATTTCTAGACTTAATTTATAAATAAGAAAATGGGAGTTGCTGTCCACTAGAGAAGGGGAGCCATCAACAGAATATTGCCATAGAAGGGAGCTTATTATTACAGGAAGAAGATAGCTAGCCAACCCCCAAGGGTAATCGTTGATTGAGAATCAAAGAGAAAAAGCATCTTGAAGAAATACGGCAATGTACTTCATCTGATTTGTTCTTTCACTTTGTTCGGATAAATTATATTTTTCTTTCTATCTATGAATTCTAAATGTGCTCTATGAGATAATAGATTTTTTTTTTCTTCAATGAATATGATGTAACTTTTCTATTTTTTTATGATTAATAATTTCATTCTTTATTAACGTGAATTAATAGTTTCTTGATTCATTGTGTATCAAGCATAAACAATACAGAAAGTATCCCTGATCATATTCAATGCAGTCAGTTACCCCTGATTGATTGTGTATCACGCATAAACAATACAGAAAATATATATATAAAAAAAAACCTTACATCTTCTCTTGCATAAACGAACGTTCTCTAAGAAATTCAGGGTCCATATTAATCGTTGAGCATGGAAAAACACCTAAATTTGGCATAGGAGGGAGAGCATTTCTATTCAGCTGAATCTGGTCAGGCAACTGAGACACAGCTTGACTAGGTACGTGTCCTGATATTTGCCCCGGAATGTGTGCCTGTAGTTTCATCTTCTTTATTCTTCACATCTTCTTTATCAACCAAATATTGCATTTCTGAAAAAATTTCCAGGATTCCACCATCAACTAGCAGTTCAGCTGCACAAGAACCCTGTTATTAGAGTAAAAGCCAAAAAACAGAATGACTTATGTAAATCTTGAGGGAAAAAATAAATCACAGAACAATCCAAGAATGCTTGCAGCAAACTATTCCCGCTAAACTCAATGTCAAAATCCATTTTAAGGTATATCAAAAGTCAACAATTCCTTTAGTGGCATGAACCTAAAGTACAAAGAAGAAACTTATATGATCAGAAGTTACAAAATATGGAAGCAAGTTAGAAAAGATATTGAATGCACGCGACCATTATAAAATTTGCTGAATTTCTATCAAAACAAAAGGGGCAGATGAAATTCCGCCAATAAAATCCCCCTCTGCTCGTGAAAGGTAATTGAAAGAAAAAAAAAATTAGATTTTACAAATTTAATTAACAATAATAATTACAGTATGCAGCCCTCGGTAGATAGTAAATCAAATCAAACAAAAACAGTCATGGAACATAGAAACCCTAACACGGTTAGCAACCTAAAACGGTTAGCAATAGAATACAGACCCGACAGAAGTTCGGAATTGTTAAAAGAAATCGGAAAGGAGCCACAACTATCCGACCATGCCGACGATTCTTTTGCCGTAGACAGAGGTCGGTTACACCGTTCCCAATAAGGCACGTGCGAATTTTGCGACGAACGAACTATAACAGAAAAGTAAGGAAAAGGAGAAGAAAGAATAACAAAGACGGAATCAAAATAAAAATTAGTCAAGTGCAAGCGTAGAATTATTTCGGGTTTCGGAAGTTGGCCTCAATCGGAATTAATTACCGTACACTCCTTCCCCCTGTCCAGGGATCTTTTCCTTTCTCTATTGGTCTAATTTTGTTTTGGTATTGGTTTGAACCAGTATATTATCCGTGCGATGCACGAAAAAAAATTAAATTTTTGTTGTTCGTTATGGTTGGTTAATCGTACGGTAAATTTTATACTTCCAAAAAAATTGTGTTGCTATCTTATTTTATATCTCAGGTGAAAAAAATTACAACATTGACACAGAATTTTACAAATATCAACTATAAACAAAAATATGCTATCAGATTTAGAAATTTAATTATAAAAAAAAATAATAAAATTTTAATTTAACTATAAAAATGTATCAGTGGGAAAATTTGTATTTAAAATTTTACAAATTTGTATTTACAAAAATTAAAATCAGATTTAGGAATTTAATCATAAAAGAAGAAGAATGAAATTTTAATTTAATTATAAAAATGTCTTGGTGGGCCGGCCCTTCGGGCCGAGCCCAGTTTGCCACCTCTAATTATTTGCATGTAATAGGTTTTTATATTTATCCACAAAAAAAGACTCTAGTTACGTCTAGATTTTTATATTTTATCTCAGAGATGAACTTTCATTTATTATAATTAGATATACGAAATAATAATAATAGTTATTTTTTTGTAAGGATTTGTGTCATTAATATTTGAAATTTTAAGAATATGTATTTACAAAAATTGAAATCTGAATTAGAAATTTAATTATAAAAGAATAATAGTGAAATTTAATTTAATTATAAAAATATGTTGGCATGCGGGACGGGCAGGCCCTTTGGGCCAAGCCCAATTTACAACATTTAACTATCAGCCTTTTATTTAAATAATTATTTTTTTGCAAGGATTTATGTCATTAGTATTTATGAATTTTACATATTTACAACAATTAAAATCAGATTTAGGAATTTAATTATAAAAGAAGAACGATAAAATTTTGATACACTTATAAAAATGTGTTGGTGGCCCGGCCCTCCGAGCCCAGCCCAGTTTGTCACCTCTAACTATTAGCATGTAATAGGTTTTTATGTTTATCCACACAAAAAAAGCTCTTATAGTTGCGTCTAGATTTTTATATTTTATCTCAGAGATGAACTTTCATTTATTATAGTTAGATTTACAAAATAATATTAAATTATTATTTTTTTGCAAAGATTTGTATCGTTAGTATTTGAAATTTTATAAATTTATATTTACCAAAATTGAAATCTGAATTAGGAATTTAATTATAAAAAATGAATAGTAGAGTTTTAAATTAATTATAAAAATGTGTTGGTAGGCGGGGCGGGCCCTCTGGGCCAAGCTCAGTTTGCAACCTTTAACTATCAGCATTTTATGTAAATAATTATTTTTTTGCAAGGATTTGTGTCATTAGTATTTTGAATTTTACAAATTTGTATTTACAAAAATTAAAATCAGATTTAGGAATTTAATTATAAAAGAAGAAGAATGAAATTTTAATTTACTTATAAAAATGTGATATGTTTTTATATATTTATCCACACAAAATTGTTCTTATAGTTGCATCTAGATTACTATATATCTATATTTTTTACAGTAGCCTTTCAATCGACTCTTTGTGGTCTGTGTATTTGTGACATATATAAGAGATAAAGAGATGAAAAATATTTGAGTTTGTACGTTTAATATTTTATCAAACACTTTATAGTTGAAGTTGAATAAGGTAATATCAAAAGACCATTCATTAGTTTATTAATATAATAATAAATATTATTAATAGACTTAACAAAATATTATTAATAGGCTCAATAATTTTCGATGCAAAAAGTTGTGGTATTATTAATAGGCTTAACAATTTTTCATGCAGAAAATAGTAAGAAACATTAAAATAGTATGTAAATACTTAAGTGCTAACATTTTTTTAGGATGCAAGAGTTGGATGGTCACTGAATAATCGTTCATTTTCATAGTGATTAAATTTTTATAATTTTTTTTTACTGAATGATAGGTGTCATTTTTTATTTAAATTAAAAATTAAAATTCTTTTGTATTTTTTTTTATTCAATATTCTTTTGAAAATATACCAATATCTTGGTCTTCTTCCCCATAATAAACCAATATCAACGCCAACACTAATGTTATGGTGAATTGGTTACCAATGGTATTACTATTTTTAAAATGACAACTCAATTCTCAATGTAAAAATACATGACCACAACGCCAACTTTAATTATCATTATATATATATATATACATACATACATATATATATATATATATATAGGACTTATCATTTCTCAAGCTGCCGGAGATAAAGTTATCTCGGGCTACTAAATCATAACCGTACAAAGATGTATCAATGGTGATAAAGGAAGAGAGAGAAAAAGGGAATCATAACCACAAAGATGAATCAATTAATATAAGGAAATAAATAAATAAAACGATGTAGTTTTGGGGTAGTCGGAGATAAACTTATCTCAAGCTGCTTGAGAAATATTTTTCCCATATATATATATATATATATATATATATATATATATATATTCTACAAATTTTATGTTACATTGAACGAATATTCAGGAATCATAAATTTACATAATATATATATATATATATATATATATATATATATATATATATATATATTCTACAACTTTTATGTTACATTGAACGAATATTCAGGAATCATAAATTTACATAATTTGTTTTTCTTACCGTTATTATTATGAGTTTAATTAGCAACGTTTAACAGAAAGGAACTGCTTTGGAATATTAAACATAATACCATAAAATAAGGTGGCAAACTTCGTAGTTTTGCACATTTTGTAGCCTTTTTTCTCATACTTATTTCACAGTATTGTTCAGCTTTGAAACAGTAGCAGAGGGTGCCATTATTGCTTAGCATCCACCATCTAATTTCATTGTTCAAGGAAACCGAGCTTCCCTCTTTTCCTTACAACCTCATTCGTCCACTTCCACCGACCCTTTGTGTTTTGTTGATCTCCCTGTCACATAATAATTACAATTAAAACCACCAGCAAATGTTATATTTGCCTTTTCAAATTTCATTCTATATTTTTTTGAATTTATCTTTTCAAATTCATTCAACCTAACCATTAATGTCGTTTCATTTATGTCTTTACAAATTTCATTTAATCTAAACATTAAATTTTCATTCAATTCAAACAAATAGTAAGTTTTATTTTTAATTTTTCAAATTTCATTCAATTTGTTTTATTAATTTTTTACAAATTCAATTATATACATTTAATGTCGATTAAGTTATGACTAACAATGGGAACTGCAGATAACCCAAGAGTCAAATATTTTAGTTGAGTTGCTGATTTTTGGGATGAGCACTAAGTTTTTTTCCTAATCCTTCACTTAGATTATTGTGCCCTTTGAATTTTTCCATACATATTGTAATTCCAAACGATTTTCAAATTACTATCATTTTAAAATTCTAATGTCGTTTTAATTATGACTAACTGTGGGAAATGCAACACTATAATAGCAATTAAGGAATTGAAGCAATTTGCATTGCAAGTGCAGCACTATTTTAGCTCAGTTATTAAGTTACCACAACTTTTAAGCTTTTCATACATAGAAATACAACATGTATAATAAATAATTCAAAAGTTTTAATAGACTCAACAACTTTCAATGTTAGTTTAAAAATATATTAATATATGAATTTTTAAATTATTTAAAATCCCTAATTGAATATTAATGGTTTTGCATTCAATTTGTTTTTTAAAAATCTTAATTGAATACACCCTTTAAATAATAATAAAAATTTGGTCTCATAGATATTATTTAAAAATATATTAATCCCTAATTTGAAATCAATTCAGAATTCGAATTTCAAAAGAGTGAGGAATGAGAAGAAAATCAAAATATGTGCATTAAAAAGAAAAAAAAAAACAATACCTGATTGTGAAAAGATTTTCACGATTTTCACTGCATCAGAGAGAATAGGAGTTAAGAAATTGAAAAGAAAAACTAAAACTCATTCTAAAGAATTCAACATTAGCAACTAAAACAAAAGAAAAAATGAAAAGAAACATAATGTATGATAGAGAATTCAAAATTGAAGAACTGAAAAAGAATACCTGATTGTGAAAGGATTTTCACGATTTTCACTTCATCAGAGAGAATAGGAGATCAAAAATTGAAAAGAAAAACTAAAACTCATTCCAAAGAATTCAACTTTAGCAACGAAATCAGAAGAAAAAATAAAGAAAAGAAACATAATGCATGATAGAGAATTCAAAATTGAAGAACCGAAAAAGAATACCTAATTGTGAAAGGATTTTCACGATTTTCACTGCATCAGAGAGAATAGGAGTTCAGAAATTGAAAAGAAAAACTAAAACTCATTGCAAAGAATTCAACATTAGCAACTAAAAAAAAAAGAAAAAAAAAGAAACATAATACATTATAGAGAATTCAAAATTGAAGAACTTAAAAAGAATTCCTGATGGTGAAAGGATTTTCACGTTTTTCACTGCATCAGAGAGAATAGGAGTTAAGAAATTGAAAAGAAAAACTAAAAATCATTCCAAAGAATTCAACATTAGCAACTAAAACAAAAGAAAAAAATGAAAACAAACATAATCCATGATAGAGAATTCAAAATTGAAGAATCGAAAAAGAATACCTGATTGTGAAGCGATTTTCACTTCATCAGAGAGAATAGGAGATCAAAAATTGAAAAGAAAAACTAAAACTCATTCCAAAGAATTCAACTTTAGCAACGAAATCAGAAGAAAAAATAAAGAAAAGAAACATAATGCATGATAGAGAATTCAAAATTGAAGAACCGAAAAAGAATACCTAATTGTGAAAGGATTTTCACGATTTTCACTGCATCAGAGAGAATAGGAGTTCAGAAATTGAAAAGAAAAACTAAAACTCATTGCAAAGAATTCAACATTAGCAACTAAAAAAAAAAGAAAAAAAAAAGAAACATAATACATTATAGAGAATTCAAAATTGAAGAACTTAAAAAGAATTCCTGATGGTGAAAGGATTTTCACG